CACAGAAAGCAGAACACCAAAAAAAGATTGCTGGCCAGAGTCTAGATTCAAAAAGGACCGCGCTACCGTTGGTGGGAGAGAGAACGCCACGGCGCCCGATTAATTACTTTGGAAAAAGCCACTGGCAGGGAATAAGCGACCAGGTGAGTTATCTTGTTCCCGACAATTGATGATTTTGTGCGGCATGTTCTCTGCGGCGGGGGGGTTTTTTTTTTGGTTGGAGTGTCCGATATTCGCAAAATGTGACGACTGGGCTCAGACGGTCGCAAAACTAGTCTTGTCTTGTGCAAGTGGAAGCCCAAAGGCTCATCGAGTCAGAGGAAGATTCATGATCTGGGACCATTTGACTTCCACGACCCGCGTGAAGGGCAGCCAAAAAGAGGCCGAAAGTGAGGAGAATGAGAATGATGAGAAAAATGGCTAGACTTGAGGAGAGAGAGAGGTGTTATTTGGAAGTTGGAAACCCACTTTGATAATGTGTCTTACATTGTCAGCCCTTAATTGCCGTGCCTGCCAGCCGTGGAATTAAGAAAGACAAAGAAGATGGATCGCGGAAATCATTTAAAGTTATAATAACAATACCATCAGGACCCGCCCGCGCATTCATCAACAGGCCAATGCCCGTCTCTTTTACAATATCTGTCAAATGGGGTTTCTATCAAGCACCACATCACCACTAAACTTTCGGCGCCGGGACCGGGCCGAGCGTTACAGTGCCAGACCGGAACTAGGCGGCTTCTTTCCGTTTCCGCCTGGAACTTACTTGACAGGCCTACTAATAACCTGCTCAGACCTGCCTGCAGACGACAGATTCGAGTCATGTCCATCACTTGACCAGAATCACCACAGCCAGTCTCTACTTTGATGATCTGACTCTTGTTTCATTGGCTAGCATGTTCACGATGGCGTGCCGTCATTCCCGACAAGAATCTCCAATTCCACCTAGCCCAGCTCTCGGGGATTAGCTCGGCCTGCCAACTACCGATATGTCATAACTAAAGTACTGCACGTTGAGGCTTCAACGGCTTCTTCTAATACTGTTGGTAAGGCTATGCCTACAGGCAGTACAGCAACTGCCACGACTGGCTTCCGCATCTGGCACGTACGACTTTCTTAATAATGCAACCCGCAATTGCTGCCATTAGGCTACTTATTACTATCGAATACCCGCAAGGGTTCTCACGGCTCGCTCTTCGGCTTCTGGATTCCATCCCCACCAGCCGCCACTAGTGCCCTGCGCCGATGCTGCCCCTACCTAAATAAAAAAAGGCATTGGCCGAAGCTGCGGAGATGAACTTATATTTTTTTCGATCTTTTTTTTGTTTCCGGCTTTCGCAGTCCAATCCAATCCACCAAACTCGAGTTTTCTCATGATGCAAAGTACGCATTTTGCACAGTTGAAGAAGGATTGTTGAACATTCAACAGGATACCGACGACTCCACTACATCCGGAACGAAAATGGCCGAGGCGGAAAAGGTATCAAGTTCGCCGACGCAAGACATTGCGCAAAGGGCCGGTGAGGCCCGGCTCGCGTCAAAGGAAGCTTTGCCAGTGGGAAAAGACGTCGAGATTCCAGATCAAAACGATTCTTCTCAGCCAGACACGGCCGCAGACAATGACAGAAAGGCATTTCAGGCTCGATTCGAGCCCGGCGACCCCGAGAACCCACACAACTTTGGTTCCGCCAAAAAGGTGTCGATTCTAATCCAGATGTCGCTCTTGGCGCTGGTGGGCTCCCTGGGCACGTCGATAATCGCCCCAGCCGAACCCGTCATTGCACGATACACAAACACAAGCACAGAGGTTGCGACTCTGGTGCTGTCTCTTTACGTCCTCGGTGAGCATTGCCTCGGACGAGATTATAATGTCCGCATGATGATGACTGACCAATTTTTTTTTAATCTTTTTTCAAAATAGGCTTCGCCGTTGGCCCGCTACTATGGGCTCCCGTGAGCGAAGTCTTTGGACGCCGGTGGTCCATGCTGCCGCCCGTCTTTGGCCTCGCGCTGTTTAGCATCGGCACCGCCACGAGTACAAACGCCGCGAGCATCTTCATCACCCGCTTCCTCGCCGCCGTGTTTGGCTCCGCGCCGCAGAGTAATGTCTCTGCGGCCATGGGCGACTTTTACGGGCCCAAGACCAGAGGCATCGCCATGACTTTTTTTGCCGTCTGTGTCGTCGGAGGGCCGACGCTGGCGCCGCTGATTGGGTCCGCGCTGCTGGTCAATCCAAAATTGGGGTGGCGATGTGAGTCCGATTCTGGGACCCCTATTCAGTGGACGTGGGTTGGCTAACTAGCCGCAGGGACAGAGTATATGCAAGCCATCATCTCGTTTGCCGTGGTCGTCATTTGCATCTTTTTCTTGCCGGAAACGTACGGCCCGGTCCTGCTACGGCGCAAAGCTGTGCGCTTGCGCAAGGAGACGGGCGATGACCGATGGTGGCACCCACACGAAGAAGAAAAGATGAACATGGGCAATATTGTGACCAAATACATTGTCAGACCGCTCAAGTAAGTCGCATGTGCCGACAATCGAAACAAATCGTCCCTAACAGCCATCTTCAGCATGCTCGTCACAGAACCAGCCGTCACATGCATGGCCATCTATGCATCCTTTGTATTCGCCCTCATATACATGTTCCTCGAAGTCATCCCCATCGTGTACCTGGAAGGACGCCATTGGAGCCCCGTCGTCTCCACGCTTCCGTACCTCAGCATATTCATCGGCGTCTTGTGCGCCGTCTTTGTCAACCTCGCCAACCAGCCGCTCTACGCCAAGGCCATGGCCAAGAACAACAACAAGCCCGTTCCCGAAGCGCGACTACCACCCATCGTCATCGGCATTGTGCTTCTCGTCATTGGCATGTTTTGGTTTGCATGGACGGCTGTGCCAAAATTCCATTGGATACTCCCCACCATCGCGCTAGGTATGTTCAAAGTCGCCCTGCTCGCTCTGATTGATTGAAAAAAAAAAAAAGCATCTAACCATTGATTGCAAAGCATTTGTCGGTGCGGGCTTCAATATTGTCTTCCAGCAGTGCCTCAACTTTCTTGTCGACACGTACGGCATGTATGCTGCCAGCGCCTTGGCCGCCAACACCTTTCTTCGTTCGCTCCTCGCGTGCGGACTGCCGCTGGCGGCGAGACCCATGTTCTCAACCATGGGCGTCGGGCCGGCCGTCAGTCTGCTGGGCGGGATAGCGTGCGCAGCGTTGCCGATTCCATTCATATTTTACAAGTACGGCGCGCGGCTGCGAAGGGCATCCAAGTTTGCGGCGCTGCGGGACTAAAGTGGGTGAATGGGCGTAATGTACAAGAATCGGCTGGACACGGGCAGAGATAGATTTAGAATAGCATCATCATTGGAAGCGCATTTTTGGTATGGCGGGTTTATGAAATATCGCTGTTGATAGATACAGAAAAGAGATTATCGCAAGTACGTTGTAATTATAAGACAGCAGATCACGCAGCAAGTGGGGGCTCTGAAGTTGTAATGCTGGGGAATAGTTGTCGACTTCCGGATCTTAGCTAGATGAGTTATTGTTACTAGAAAGTACAGCGAGTTCATCTTTTGTACGCCACAATAGTGCCAATACAGACTAAATGCACCCGAGTTCAAGTCTTTATCTTTTTGGCATGTTGACTTGGGAAGGACTGGAATATCTGGTGGGGTCGGTTCTGGGAAAGCCGAGGCGCAGGCTAACGCGCAGTCCTATTGACCAAATTATTTGTTCGGAAACGTTATTTGACGTGTAGATATGATAGTCGGAATTAAAGTAGTCAAATGTTGACAAATCAAATCGCAACCGACCGTACTGGTGCGGGGTAGTACAATGTCGACAGATCTCGAGCCAGAATCGAGACATTGGCAACAGAGGCTGCTTTCCAAGGCTATGCTGGATAAATACTGTGACAAGTATTGTGTGAGATTTGATTAATGAACATGTGATACGCCTCAAAGGATAAACCCAGCACCAGCATCAACACCCAACATGCAGTGGAAGAGTAAAGCGAGCATGTTCACGACTACGGTCACACAACTACAGTCACAGCCACGCTCAGCAACACGGCAATGCACTAACGGAACGGTGGCCGCCATCACATGCATGCCAGAGTCGACGCATTACCTGTCCAGCTAGGTACAGTCTAAAGCGCGCCAAGCGACACACTGACAGGTGGCTGCAGCAGGGCGCCACCAAGCGCAACGTTGAAAGAATTGGAGCCGGTCCTATCAGTCAATTGTTGTAAAGAGGATCGACGAGCTGTTGAATAACTTGACGGTAGCTATACCCATGCTGTGTTGTTCCTGATTCAAGATGCCTTTTATTTCTCCAAATTCCGGTGGCCGTCTGGGGTGCGAGGATTCGTAATTCTGACATCTATTTTGGTTTTCTGGGTTGCTTTTTCTGCGTTGGGAGGCTCGACACTGCTCGCGGAGATTCTACATTCACAGCGGGAAACAGTTATGTTTGTCTGATTCATCGATTTGGCGTATGAATAAAGCCGCGGTGGCGCATAAGAGGACCGGAACAGTTGCCGAAGTAAGAATCATTGATACCAAGGCTAGAGTTGCAAGGAGACGACAAGTCGAGGTCGCACCGCTCACATTTGTGCATGACAATGTCGCACGCAGTCAGAAACCGAGGGGAAAAGGAAGCTGAAAATGCAACACGGCTGTGCGGCCAAGAAGCCAAGCTTGGGGATGCACAGCCGTTGTGTCGATTACAAGCACTAATTTACTCAGGACGGCTTGGCCGGGCCCGTGGGCACTTCTTGGAGGAGTCTTTGCGAGCTTGGCAGCCGAGTAAGAGGCTTGGCGGCGACGGTGATTCGGCCGGGGCGGTAAAGCGGCGGCGCGTCCTTTCCGAGGGCGGTCCGCGTGCTTTGCTAGCTGGGGCTTGGCACACTGGTTGTTTGCTGCATTACTGCATCGCAGCTGGTATTAGTCTGGCAGCTGGCAGCTGGCAGCTGGCAGATGAGATGAGCAAACGGCTCGCTATTGGCCTTGGCTTGGGGGAGCTGGGATTAATTAAAATATATGGAAACATAAAAACAGCACGGATTTGCAATTTATCAAAAGATGCCGATCTGGTGTTTTGTCGCAAGCACAGCATACCTTGGCTTTTATCCTATACGTTTCATACTATACCTTGCGACACTGGCCCAGCAAAACGTCAGCTACCACGCCTACACGTCTGGGCTCGCCAGCAATAGTTACGGCACCCCAGCCTTGTAATTCCCAGGGCATGAGACTGGAAATACTTGACACGTTACAGCTCTACATTCGTACGTCAACAGGCTTGGCGGAACTCGCCCTCAGACCCTGATAGCGCTCCCAATATATCGAGTATCTAGGCACTAGGTAGTAGGACCGCTTATATCGGGCTACACGAGTCTTGCGAAACCCATTGCATTTCGCTAGGTGCTGCCACTTTTGCCGTGGCAAGACAGCCAAGACGACCACCAAGACATGTCAAAATACACCGCCAATTCAAACATTGCCCTCAATCCCATCGAGTTTCAGAAAAAAAAAAAAAAAGGGTGTCATCTTAGAAGAGGAGGCCGTCCATTAACTGGGCAATATATCTTTCTTCTCAGGTTACACGGCAGCCCGCGTGCACAAAGTGCTTGCCTTGTTCCTTACCTGCACCGGGGAACCCGTGGCCAACCCACCACGTCGGTCGCAGTGCAGGGGAGCCACTACTAATTTCGCACAAAGCTCGCACCAAAGGCGGCACCACTGCTAGACCCAATTTGCCAAGAGCTCCAAGACTTTGCCCAGAAAAAAAAAATAATAAGAGTGCAAGCAAAGGGAAAGGAAAGGAACAAGAAGGTCATCGGCGTATCGTCGCCCTGCCTTGGGTTCTATCTTTTTTTTTATTGCAAGGTGACTCCTTCCCCCCTTCGTGTCACGGGCTTTTTTTCTCCTTCTCTTGATCGTAGCACTTCTTTTTTCTTTCTTTTCGTTCATTACGAGTCGCGCGATCTGGCTACCGCGCACGCTTCGGAGCTTCATTTACACGCCGGCTCAACTGCCCTCCCCGCCCGCTACGATTGACCCTCTGTGATCGACACGCCGCTGCGAAAACAAGTTTCGCACCCTCTAGCCTCGCGCGCCCGAGGATCTCGCCAGTTTGCCGATCATGGCCACTGTGCGACGCAGCGCCGTGGCCGCCATCTTCGTCAGTTTCGCTGTGCTATGCGGCGCGTCAACGGTACCGAGCGGCAGCAGCAGCAGTATTTCATCGACTACAATCACCACGATCCCAACAGCAGCTCCGGCCATCACTCCTGCGCTGTCTGCCGTCTCACAAACCACACAGGAAGCTACCCCCACCGGGCCAATCACAACCGCGCCCATCTTTCTGCCCTACTATCGCGGCTCGGCTTGGTCTGCTCTCCGAGGCAGCATTCTATCATCTGTATGTCGACTTTCCCTCGAGTGGCGTGTCGGCGTAACCCCTTCCTAACCATGGCGACCCCAGGACGACGTCAAAAATTGCACAACATATACGATATTCTGCTGCAAAGAGCCAGCGAAAGGTTGCAATCTCGCCCTAGAATTTCCATTCATTATTGTCGAAGGCCCCAAGACGGTCGAATTCCACGGCACATATACGTCCACTTTGTACGACGGCTCCCGAGCTTTGCGCAATTCCCGGTGCCGCAAAACATGGCTAACAAAGAGTATTTCTAGCATTGCCGACATCGCATGCGATCTCGACGGACGAACTGCGGCGACATGCTCCGGCTATTCGAGCTACAAGTCGGGCTACAAAAACGGCCACGTCACGGGTCCTACTGAAATTTCCTGGAGCTCGACCTTGACCGGCACCGATGTTCAATGGGGCGTCTTGACGATGGCTGCTCTCCCCAAACCGACTGGCGAAGATGGCGATTCAGCTGATGTCACGGTGGCGCCGACTGAGAATACAGGGCTATTGTTTGTGCCGTCCGATACTCCGGGAAACGCTGCCAGTACGCAAGCTTTGCAACTTTGGGCAGCCATTGTCGTCGCCGCGAGCACAATTTTTGCCGGCCTTCTTCTCTAAGCGTCGTGGCGCACGCACAAGCGCCGCAAGCAACAGTCTGGTATCAATACGCAGGCGAGTTCGAATTGGAAAAGGGAGGGCAAGGATGGGCTTGCCATCGAAGGGCGGGCGAGCATTTGGCAGGACCTGGCGTGGGCACAAGTCCCATTGGCCAGAAAGTTTATACCCCCGATACAAATCAGTGCAACCTGATAGCATGGATGCACAGGCGTTTTTTTTTCTTTTGGCAATGCTGATGGCGGCATTTTGGAGTTTGGCTTTTGTATTGTGATATTCATGGCATGGAGTTTGGCTCGTTTCTCTCGGTTCATGCAGCAGTCGGAGAACTGCTTTCAATGCACTTTGGTTCTTTTATTTTGCAGATTCGGGGAGACATGTCTTTGTCGGCAATAGTAATGCAGGAAGACATCTCATCAACGTTTCAGTCTCAGTAATTAGTGATGGGGGTGTGTTGGCAAGCCACTCACTTGTGGCTGGTAGTTTTCACACAAGTCAACCTCCAGTAGGTGATGGCGTAAATGGGTTGATCGGTGAGCGCACGTATATGCAAGGCTGGCAGGACGCCGACAAGAATAGATAGCTACACGGCTACCCAGCGGCTACTGTCACCTCGTAGAACGTATATCTTTTTCCGCTTTGTTTTTTGGCCCGAATAACTCGTGCAGTGATCCATTTTGGAAGGAAGATGGGGGGAGAAAAAGCTATTTCGGTGAGCAGATGTCATCCGGTCTTGTAAGTCCAGAGTCAGTGAATACGATGATGGGCCCCAAGGGGCTAAAAAGAGGCGGTGCTTTCTTCTCTCTTCACGGCTCGGACGTGCGCCGTTGGGTATTGTCGATAAAGGTTAAAGAATTGGTACTTCTATATTCAGTCATGGCGGGAATGAGGGCTCTGCAAGATTTTAGACTGTAGTTTGGCGCTCGGATGGCAGTGGTTCTACCATGGACAAGCCACAGCACACAACTTCAAGAGGCGCGCAAGTTGGGCATCTTCCTTTTTCAGCGTACTAAACTCCATCTTGGTCATTCTCTTTTTAGCAACCCCTCCTTTATCTGACAGAACAACGTAAAAAGGTCAAAGATGGGGTGATGAACGACATAGGGCTGCTGTAGGCGGTTCTATCAGGAAGCAAGCGAACACGAGGTGGCCCAAAATCGCTCGCCGCGAATGGGTGAATGGTGGGTTTTTTTTTTGGCGGATGTAGGTCAGGTCATGAATACGACATCTGAAATCGACGGAGCTGATGGATTCGAATTGTCAAAGGCCAGAAGTATGGCAGTGGGGAAAGAAGGAGAGAAACAGGTTGACAATTATGGCAGAACAAGTTACATCGGTCCGCGCGGGGAACCATTCAAGGAAGTCGAATGTGGCGTTTTATACAGGAGAGGGGGTGTGCAGGTTATGTTTATTACATCTTGCGTCTTCAGAGGCCACGAACAGGCTGCAGACATTGCATGGCAGTTGCTGCTGTGCGTACAGGACATGGGAACATCATGCCCAGCCCCCCCGAGGCGCATGAGCGGTTGGGAGAGAATGGATATACGGATGATAGTATCCGTCAAGCCCCTCAAGCATCCCTAGTATGGCTTGGGCAGTGAGGGCTGCAAGAGAGAAGAAATGAAGAAAAGAATGAGACATGATGGTAGCGGAGTTTCAAGGATGGATGGCTGTGCCGCCGTCTCGACGAGCTCTTGTTGGTGAAAAAAGCACGAAACGTAATCGTTTACCATGATGGGCCGCGAAGAGCTTTCAAGACAATAGGTAAAAGAGGAAAAAAGAAAAAAAAAAAAAAAGGTCAGAGGCAAAGTTCGAGGCTAGGGGGTGGGAAAAGCACATCTCCGGTCCACGACCACCGCCATCAGCTGAATTGTAGATTTCTATAAACAAGGACAAATCGAAAACCTATACTTCTTATGAATCTAGTTAGTGCGTCTAGTTTCTAATTTAGCTACTGCTCTCACATCATTCTCGAGGTAATGCGATTGAACTCTTCAGGGGTGCTGTTGGTCTACTTGTAGACTGGGCATGCTTCTTCATTCTCACCAAGAGGCTGGGAAGCAAAGGTGGGTTGTATGGAAGAATCAATGAGGCTGGGCCATGTAATACGGGTGCAGACAGGCAATATTATTCTGTGCCTCGAACCGAAGACTGCATACCGCCCGCCGATGTGCAGCTTGTGATTGCAGATTCCATGCACAGTGCAGCCACAGCCACAGGCCGAGGTGGCTCACATCGAGGCTGTTCGGCCACAACCCGGCCGGCCTGCACAGAGAGAGACAAAGGTGTACGACATGTTCTTGCCCGGGTTAGGCCGGGGACCATGATGAGACCAGCGATTCTGTACTCTTTGGGCTATACATACTTGTATCGGCTGGCTCTTTGGCTAGGCCGAACGGGAAAGCATGAAAGGGATACGTGTACGAATACTCTGTACGGGGCTTGCAAAACGGCCATTTATGTCATTACAGGACGATGAGGTTTAGTACGAATAGACCAAAATAGCTTGGTCGGAGAATGGATATTCAGAGGTTGGTCAAGACGAAAGGAAGATAGAGAAATCGTCAGGGATGGATCAGCAGCAGCAGCAGCAGCAAATGGTTGGTGACACGATCAGATGGCCCGATATCGAGACCCCTGTCAAACTGGTTCAATCTGTCGTGTTTCAAGACGGGTGCCCCTCTGATTGTTTTTGCGTTTGTCTCAGCTGCTGCTTGGCACGACCGGGGGGATTATGCCTCTTTGTTGCAGCCCAAAGGTATTTCTTTTGAGACGAATGCTGAAAAAAGAAATTGCGCGCATGGCAAGCTGAGCAAGAGCCGGGAGCAAGCATCTTGTTTTAGATTCCCGGCCTTTTGATACTTTTTGATTTGGTTTGAGCGAAGAGTACCCCATGCTGAGACAAGCTCATCAGCGGCTGGGCTAGCAGGGAACCACTGTATTTTTAGTGCATAGGCCCCTGTAAGAAGCGGGCGACGGGCGGGGTTACGAGCTGCCACGGGCTGCCAGAGGGCAGCGATTTGGCGCCCAGTCTAGGCCTAATATGTTTATGTCAGTACGGATTAGCGCTGGCGAGGTTCTCTTGATGACGCCCTCCCTGACCTGGTTGACTGGTTGACTGGCACTCGGTGGACAAAAAACATGGCGGTAGTCTACCTACAGCCACCGCTAATCGTGGGCGAAAATCAGTGTATACCCGCCATGTTTTTTTGTCCACCCCTTGACTGGCAAAATTGGTAAAAGAGAGACTTGCCAAGTATCCGTATGTCTGCATCTTTTTAGCTCGGCCGCCAGAACGTGTCCGTTGGCTGCGAATGATGCCGCCTGCGACAAAACAACCCGTTGTGGCACCAAACAAGTGAGAGCTGCCAGCAAACGATTTACCTGCCAAAAATTCCATTGATGATACAGTGGATGGCATTGTTCTCCCGCCATTATGATTGACGAACCATGTATTATGAACAAGGGCGTGGAAGATCTAGGAACAATCGGGCGGTGTCCAATGCCACTAGGAGGAGTCGACTGAAAACACACGGGCTGGTATGCATATGTTTTTTGCCCAGACAAGTCAACTGCTACGCTGGTGATGCACGTCACAGAAGCACGCTTTGCTTTTAGCACAGCATGGCAGAAGACGGATAGGTCGTGAATGCATGTTGATTACTCATGACCCCAAGCAACCCCAGGCAAGGCAGCCCTGGCATTTTGATGTGTCCACCGCCCCGGCACTGGCCCATCCCGAGCCGAGCCAGACACGGCTCTGACAGCCTACAGGCTGCTTGGCCACCAGCCGCTGCCTCGTATCAAAACATGGGTCCGCCTATAGGGCTTACATGAGTGGTCCTCGATGGCCAGATGGTGTCGAATTGGCGACCAGAGCCTAAACGTTTGGCATACCGGGGGTGTTGCTTGCTTCATCACAACGTGCACCAAATCGTTTCAAGGCAACCACAACCACACCACACCAACAACCCTCATCCGTCAGACTTGTTCTTGTATGTTTCCTTCTGCCAGATCCCGTATTTACCCAGCTTCAGCTGTCAAGCCCTTTGGTGCCCCATTTCTTTCGTATTCACCGGGTATGACCGTCTGGGCGTGTCGCTTCTCCTCATCCATGCAAACGACTCGGCCAATCCCAGCCAAGCTTCCCCGTCTCGAACCCAGTCAATAGACTCGGGCAAGGGCGACACAGTCGTGCCAAAACGGGAAAAAAAAGTTGCACAGTTGAAATAAAAAACAAATGCGATGAAAACAAAACAGGCACATACCCACTTTCTTATCCCAAGCGCACACACGTTGACACGCAACGGCTTGTCCAACACGGTAGGTACGCCTGACACGTCCTTTCACGTTCTTTCTCTAACCGCCCATCAGTCCTGTTTCCACCCTTCCACTTCCATTCTTCTCTCCCGACTTGCTCCAAACGACTGGTTCTCATTGTTTCTGCATCAAACAGCTCCAGGCTTTTATTTGATAATTCTTTAGTTTACTCTTCTCGAATCACAATCCAAACCGAGCACAACCCTGCCGCCCGTTTGGATACATCACGCCGTCCATCCTCCACTCAAGCCTTGCAGGCGGGGGTCTCACAATCACCAGCCTTCGGCTTCCTGCCATCCATTATTCTAGTTTGTCAATAATATTTCTTTGTGTCTCTGCGTCTGACATTTCTTTTTGGCTTCTATTATAAGGGGCTTGCTTTCTGCTGTTTACCTGCATTCTGTTCTTCTTGTTTGGGTCGAATTGTGTGTTTGCTTGTCCATATTCCTCTTCTGTTCATACTATCGTGCTTGGCCTCTTGTGCTTGGCTTGCCGCTGGTGCTCCTCCCCCTGCTTCAGCCGGCGCCTATTACTACCCTCTCCCCATTGGTCTCATCGTGCCTGTTGCGTTGTGGCACTCGATTTTCTTTGACCCGGTCTCTACATATTACTCACGTCCTGAGCCATCTTTTCTGCCTTGCTCCCTCCTTCAACTGGAGTCTGCGTGCGCAGTGTTGAATTCTCGTGCATACCGAGCCGAGCTGCCTACATACACTGTCTGCAACACCTTCGCTCACGCCGCGCACGTCGTATCTTGTCGCAAAAATGAAGTTGACCACCGTTCTATCGCTGCTGAGCTCGGCTTCCGCTGCCGTCATGCAGCCCAAGGATCTCGATGTTCAAGACACCAGTACGTCTGCCTCGATACCACCATCGCCAACTTGGACTAACACATGCGCCAACAGGGTCTATCCGCAACGTCGCCGCCACCATTGCCCACGGCACAATGTCCTACTACCAGGGCAACACTACCTCCGAGCCCAGAGGCATTGGCAATGTCAACCGTCCTTACTACTGGTGGGTTGCTGGTGCTCTCTGGGGCATGATGATTGACTATTATCATGTCACCAAAGACCCTAGCTACAACCAGGTCGTCCTCGACGCTCTCCTAGCCAAGACCAATCTTGGTCCCGAAAACAACTATCTACCTCCCGAGCACGCCGACGAAGAAGGCAACGATGATCTCTTTTTCTGGGGTAACGCTGTCCTGTCCGCCGCCGAAAACAACTTTCCCCAGCCTAAAAAGGATCTACCCTCGTGGCTCGACATTAGCAAAAATGTCTTCAAATGGCTCGAGTCCAAATGGGATACCAAACATTGCGACGGCGGTGTCTTTTGGCAAATTCTTGAAAGCAATCCCAACGGCCTCAACTACAAAAACTCCATCAGCAATGGCGGCTTCTTCCAGCTCGCAGCCCGTCTCGCCCGCGCCACCAACGACGATCAATACATTCAGTGGGCAGAAAAGATCTGGAACTGGTCTTGGGACAAGCACCTGATTGACCACGACCTTTATCGCATCTCTGACGGTGTCGACATTCGCGATCAGTGCACAAAGCCTAATCCAGCTTCCTACACATATCTGAGTGGTATATACCTCTATGGGGCTGCTGTCATGGCCAACCACACTGGCAAGTCGGAATGGTCTGATCGTGCCGAGAAGCTTCTCAGTGGCTCTAGCTGGTTCTTCTTTAACGACGGCGACAGCAAAAATGTCATGTATGAGGGTGCCTGCGAACCCATCGACTCCTGCTTCAAGGGCAATGCCGACATGAGCACCTTCAAAGGCTACCTCGCCGACCTTATGTGGAAGAGTGCCGTTTTGCAACCCTCGCTCCATTCCAAAGTTGCCGAATGGCTCATCCCTACAGCCAAGGCCGCTGCTCAATCTTGTCAAGGCGGCAAGTCCAACACCGAATGCGGCATGAAGTGGTCCACCGGCGGCTACGATAACCAGACGAATCTGGGCCCCCAGATGAACGCTCTTGGTGCCGTCCAAGGCCTCCTCATCGATTCGGCTGCTCCTCCCATGCAGGCGAGCGGCATCGTCCGAAACTACAACGCCACCTTTGAAGCCGTTGATCCCAACCGAACGGATTCAAGTGCAACACCGACGGAAAATAGTACGTCCAAGACGCCCACTTCCACAAAGACGGAAACCCCTACACTCACAGCCACATCCTCCACACCATCCACATTATTCACATCATTCACATCATCCTCGACAGTCACGTCTGAAACTTCCACCCCTACTCCAATGCCAATCACCACCCTGTCTGCGCCTGAGTCTACAAGTTCATCAACTTTAAAGACTCCTAGCACTTCAAGTTTTGGCTCCCACTTTCCCAACTCTGGGAGTTTTAGCTCCGAGTCATCAACCTCTGTCATTACACAAATCACTACACCTAGCCCAGCCGAGACGCCGAGATCGATCGAGACTAGCGGAACCGCGACCACTGGAAATAGTGAGTTGCTATCGACGCTATCTTGCCCGTCTTGCACCGTCTCGGAGTCTTCTACTGCCACCGACATGACCATCACTCTCGACCCTTCGTCTACCCCTAAGCCATCTTCCAAGCCCTCTTCCTCCATCGCGCGTATTATTACCTCCACTCCTGGGTCTTTGTCATCATTCTTCGCCCCCTCGCCTCCGTCACACCAGTCCATCACCACCTTCCTTTCCATGCCCAATCAATCCCATCCCGGAACGGGATTGCCTTCTTCTGGTCTAACACATAGTATAGCTACATTGCCATCTTCTACCGACGAGTCTGCTGCCACGACAAGTTGTGCCAATCACATCTCCATTGCTGTGGCTGTTGCCTTGAGCTCGGCCCTGGTAAACTGGTTGGCATGAACGCCTCCATCTTGGGAGCGCAGTATCAACAGTCTTGCATTTCTTTTTCATGAGTCATGATTTCTTTTTTGGGCGCATGGTTGGCTCTTGTTTTAGTCCATGGTTGTGTACTTGTTCAGGGGTCTTGTTTTATTTCATTTTTGGTGGAGTTTCGTGTATCATTGCCATCATTTTTTGGCAGCACTAGAACGGCCAATACACATGGCAAGCCTCACTGCTGCAGGCTACTCTCGGATAGACATAACAAAAAGCATTATGATTGTGGCATAAACTGCCAGCAATATAATTTTAAAGTTTATTTACATTTCATCTATCAAAGTGATGTAATAAGTGCGCTTCCATGTCGTGCCGTATTCTATCATATATGGTCGCCTTTGATCATTGGCCTCTAATTCTCGCCAAGACGTCTTTCAATGAAGTCAGGAAACGAGTCACTTCATCTTCTGTGCCGACAGTAATACGCAAACAACCCAGACAGCCGTGCTCCTTGCCACGAAAGCGTACGACGACGCCCTCATTCTCGGCAAGAACCGAGTAAACCTTGTGCGCCACGTCATTGTCCGGCTCGCCCGCGGCGTTGAGCATCTCGTACAACAAAAAGTTGCTCTCGGTGCCGCCGCGCAGCCTGCCGACGCCCGGCACGGCGGGCAGCTCGCGCACGAGCCTCTCTCGCTGCGCGACGATGCGAGCGCGGTTGGCGCGCATGACGGCGAGGCCGTCGGGGCCGAGGGCGGCCGAGGCGAGGGCGCTAGTCGGGCTAGAGATGTTGTAGGGCGCCTTGAGGCTGTTGAGGACGCGGGCGACGTCGGGGCTGGCAAAGGCGGCGCCGAGGCGGATGCCGGCCATGCCAAACGCCTTGGACAGGGTCTGCATGACGACGAGGTTGGGGTGCTCGGTGACGAGCTCGGCGAGGGAGGTGTCGTCGGGCGCAAAGTCGACGTAGGCCTCGTCCACGACGACGACGCCGTTCCAGGTCGGGTGCGCGAGAATGGCCTCAATGTCGGCTTTGCGGAGGAGCGCGCCGGTCGGGTTGCCGGGCGAGCAAAAGTACGCGAGCTTGATGGTGTCACTGCTGCCAGGTGCAGAAAGAGCGGCGGTGACGGCGGCGACGTCGAGGGAAAAAGACGGTGCGGGGAGAAGCGGAACTTTAACGAGGGCGACGTCGTTGACTTGGGCCGAGACGGCGTACATGCCGTAGGTGGGCGGGCAGACGAGGATGCGGTCGCGGCCGGGCACGCAGAAGCAGCGGAGGAGCGCGTCAATGGCCTCGTCGGAGCCGACGCCGACAAAGAGGTGGTCCGGGGTCAGGGTCGAGGGCGTGTGGGCGTGGGTGTTGCGGAGCGTGCAGAGGAGCTGCTTGAGGGAGCGCTGGTGAGGGTCGGGGTAGCGGTGGAGGCCGAGCCAGTCAATGTCGACAGAGGAGGAGGAGGAGGCGGCGGCGGAAGAGGCGGCGGAGGGGGTGAGGGAGGGGCCAAAGGCGTTTTCGTTGGCGTCGAGGAGGATATTGGTGCCGTCGTCCTTGTAGTCGCTGAAAGAGAGAAGGAGGATGAGGTGTCAGCGATGCGAGTAGAAGAAGTGCTGTACAGGAAAACGGGGGGGGGGGATTTGACGTACTCTCTGGCGCAGCGGTACGGCTCCAAGGCGAGAATGTTGGGTCGCGCGCAGGTCGCGAGGTTAAAGGCCGGCATGGTGAAGGGTGATGGGTGATGGTGATGGTGACGATGGAGGGGGGAGGGGCACACAAGCCGTCAGTCAGGGTTTTTTTTTTTTTTTTTTTTTTTTTTGTATCTCTCGCAAGCACTCGACGTCAATTGGCCTTGCAATTTGCGAAATCTCAAAAAAAGATGAGCGAGTGGCACCGGACTAGGACTGTCTTTATAGTCAAAAAGGCCGTTGGTTGTGAGAGTGAAATGACTCTTGGCCAATACTTGCTGTAGTTGCGTTAATAGAAGATGTAAATTATGGTTTTGGCGGCGCCGAACCCGGAGGAGCTTTGTCACTGCGGGGCGTTCCTGATGCGCAAGTGGGGCCGGAGCTTGCGAGTCACAGCTCAGGCGGGCGAGCAGCGGTAAATATTACCTAGCAGTCCTAGTTACCACGACGGTCTGCAATTACCGTTGCAAAATAATTTATTGTTTTAAAAAAAAATCTATATTTAATACTACGCTAGCTCTATACAAAACAGAATATCCAATACAACCGCCTACGTCCAGAATGGCGGAACTGGCGGAAATGAGCGGCACATTACACGCCAAATGCTCTCGCAAAACTGTAAAACTATAAATGAAAACCAAACAGGAATACGCATCGCTTCTTCAAAATCTGCCCACGCATCACAATCCGCCAAGCCACGAGCGCGGCGCCCATGCAACCGGCAATCAGAGGAATGAGCTGCCCGACCGAGTCCAGGTCCGCGCGGCCAACCTTTTGCACGCCATTGACGCGAATCAGGTACTCGACCGTCATGGCCGACAGCACCAGCAGGCCTGCCGACAGCGCCAGCAGCGCGAGCTCGATGCGCGGACGGCCCTTGTTGTTGCCGTGCGCGTTGGCGGCGGCGAGGCCGCGCCCAATGCCCGGCCGGAAGCGCGTCACGAGCAGGTATACCCAGTAAGCGACGAGCGCGACGCAGACGACGAGTCCCAGAACGGACAGGACCTTGCCGAGGACGCGGAACCAACCGTCAAAGGAGGTTCGGCCGAAAAAGGCCACTTCGGAAGCGCAAGGCGCGAGGGTGGGTGCGGGCGCGGACGCTGCCCCGTCGGCGACCCCATCTCGGCGGCGGCGCATGGCATCGATGCCAGCAAACCAGAACCAGCAGCCATAGGCAGACAGGGCCGTGTAAAAGAAGAGCCGGGCGACGCCGGATATGGACCGCAGGTGGCCGACGCCGTCGCCGGTGACGCTAGAGAGGGAGCCGCAGAGCAAGAACTGGGTGATGACGGCGGCGGACGGGTGCAGGCCGCTGGTGCTGGTGGTGGTGGCGCCGACGCTCTCGGTGCAGAGGCCGATGAAGACGGCGAGCTGGATGATGAGGTTGGTGGTGCGCAGGCCGGCCTCGCTGCGCGGCTCAAAGACGGTCGAGAGCAGCATGGCTACCCACTGCGCGTAGAGGCCGACGCGCACGCCCACGCCGTAGAGGTCAGAGTTGCCGTCGTAGCCGCAGCCGTCTTGGCGTATCGCGAGCATTGTCGTTGAAAGCTCTTACCCCCCTCTTTTCCCCGGGGGCGGAGAGGGGGATCTGAAGATGGTATGGTATGGGGGGGTTTGGTGGGAACGGCGGGATGCACGTTTGGTGGCTGTAATGCTGGTGCAATTGCGGGCAGGACTTTGTTATAAAATGCCCCAAGCAATGACGGTATGCCAACTGCGGGAAAAGGGAAAAGAGGAAGCAACAGGATTCAGAGATGGTAGATATTGTCGAGACTTGCCGCTCCTTCTGTTGGCACAGATGGGAGCCATGTGATATTTCATCGGCGGCAGCCCATGTGCCAATTAACAACTATTATGCGTATTTCAGCCTCGCCAGACTAACAGCTCTCAGCTTTCGCTCTTACCCGTTGGTGGGGGGTGGAGCGGCACGTCCCGCCCTGCCTCCCACAAGGCAATGGCGGTTACAAGCTTTCCCTGTGGCGTACAATAGTCTGCTTAGCGTCCCAATGCCAGAAACAATTGCGATAACTACTCGCATACGATGAAGGGGGTCAAGGTCGTGCCCGTGTTGCCTGCGGGACCGCGAGCGATCTCGTCGGGATGTGGGCTGTACAACGGCAAAAGGGCAGAAATCAAGGGTCTTGGTGGTTGAAGATGAGATTGAGTAACTTGTGTGCTGCATTGAGACCAGCCTTCTGGTCAGCCTGGGAGTCAGCCAAGAACAGCCATGTTGCCTTTTGCAGGGGGGGGGGAGGCTTAAGCTGCGTCATTGGCATCTCGCGTGCTGATCTCAGCCGCACTTCTCCTTCAGGCGGCCCAAAAGCTTGTTTCCTCTCGATCTTGCCAAAACCCCCGGAACTTGGCCGTCGATAGTGTCAATGTGCTAAAATGAAGCTCGTCGCCAATGTCATGCGGAAGGCATACGCTCACCAATACTAAAAGACAACACCTCTTTGACCCCCTTCCAGCGTTCACAGTGGTGACATTTCACAAGCTCAATCCTTTCTACTCTTTTCCGTGTCCCCTGCCTCTCCTCCAAGATTGCCCCTCTCTAGATTGCCGAGCGCGGATCCCACATCACCCTGAGCCATGTTCAACGACACGCTCACGACGCTCGCAGAACGCGCCGAGTTCTCGTGCCCGGTCGAGGGCCAGCCCGACCTGTACGGCCTGGGCATCCGCATCGGCATCTACATCCAGATGCTGGCGGTGCAAATCTCGGGCTTGCTGAGCATAGTGCTGCGCCAGGACGACTACCTCGGCGAGAGCGTCGTCCTCTTCATCCTCGCCGTCGGCAGCGTCCTCATCAAGCTCATTGTCCACAAGCAGATTCTCGCCGTCGAGGCCGCGCCCATGGTGGCCCTGCTGCTGGCGCAGGTCAGCGTGTGTCGCGCCGTGAGCCGGATGGGCTTTGTGGTGGGCGTCATCTTTGCCGTCGAGTTTTGCGGCCTTTCTTCTCTATTCGTCTGGTTTTGGTGGCACGGCATGGATGTTCTCGGGCGCTCGCCCTGCGCAGACGACAAGGCCTTCTTCTTTGCCAAGGTGAGCCTCTGGGGTTGGTTCCGGACAATGAACAAGGTCTTTGCAGTTTTCACGGCGATTGCTGCGGGAATGATGGCCATTATGTATATTTTTGGTGAGATTTTTCCCTCAAGTTCCACAGCCTTGGCTTCAAACACCGCTAATAGTAGTCCCATTCAAGTATACACTGTAGCCTCTGTGCAGTACCTTTTATACTGGTACCAGCGACTGCGCGGCCGGGTTGGGCCCTTGGAACAGAACAATGGCGATCAGAACAGCGACATGAACGATCGAGACTGGAAAGTCGACATTCAGAGCGCATTTGAGATTTCCATCAACATAGGTGTCATTGCCTTTGTCGAAATGACTCTCAAATGGAACAACATTACAAATGTTCACTCACTCCGGGATCCAGGCCAGTTTATGCCGCTCATAATTTCCTTGGCGCAGCTTGTCGCAATCATCTATCAGGGAGTGTCTCGCGTTGCTCATATGGCAGCGACAGAAGATGAGCCACTCGCTTACGGTAAGTTGTCTCCGTTTCATTCCCGGCTCGTCGGTCATCGTTGCATCGTTGCGAGCGCATGCTAAACATGCTGTAGGTGACGGAGACGATACAGACTGCACACACGAAAACAAATCGTTGCTACCAAGGCACCTAGGAAACCATGATGGGGCCGGTCAGAATGATGTAGAGCTCAAATGAAATCATCACTAGTCTCGCGCGTGTCTAATACAGTTCGATTTCATCCTACCATGACATATTTGCCAAGCAAAGCTGCGCATGGCGAAAACTAGCATCCAGCGACTCTAATAAATCACCGCATCCTGTTTTATAGAATAACGGGGCCAAATATATTTTTGCCCTCGATTATCTCATCTCCAATCACCATCCCGAGCTCAGACGCGCTCAGTCGCCGCTCGGGGAGTCTAGCCGTGCTTTTCTTGGTGGTACCAAATTAGGGCCCAAGCGAGTACGATGAGCTGGCTATGATGCAACCCTCCAGCCGACTCGTAAAAAATGCATTCGTGTCTATTTTGTTAGAGATGTACATCTGTGCATAATATTGAATGAAGCCTGTACATGTTTTTGCTCCGCGCGAGTTTGGTACGCCTTCAGTGCTTCGACTTTTGAGCACAGCTGGTCTTTGTCCGGTCGAGTTTGCCTGGCTGCACTCTTTTCGGCAACTTGCATTCCATCTGTTCTTTTTAATATGGTCAGCGCTTCGAGGTTGACGGCGTTGAATGCCTCCATCTGTGTGGCGCTTGCCTCGGGCATTTGGAGCATGGACAACCTTGTCACCTTTGGGGACAGCTATACGGATGAGTCGAGGGCTATTTATCTAGCCGAGTACGGCCATGTGCCGCCTGCAGGCCTACTCATGCCACCGAATAACAGGACAGCGGATGGTGGCATAGCCTGGGGCAGAATGGTGGCGAGCATGACCGGTGCTAGGTACTACAACTATGCAGTGGCCGGCTCTACCTGCTCGGAAAAGGTAGCAACACAACCAGCACGTATTATACCTGGCCAGATACCGACTGTTCTCGAGTATGAGGTTCCTGCATTCGAAGCAGATTTGGCCGTTGCATCGTTCTACCCCAATCGACAAGCAAACAACACAGTATACGCCATGTGGATTGGCACCAATGATCTTGGCGTAGAAGGCTTCCTTTACGATCGCAACAGACCTGGGACGGTTCTCAATGACTTTGTTGGTTGCGTGTGGCAATCCTTTGATCGCATTTACAAGGCCGGGGGTCGTCGATTCGTTATCATGAAAGCCGTGCCACTGGAAAAGACGCCGACGTACGCAAGCTTTGACAATGGAGGTGCACGAGATAATCCGGTCTGGCCGACAAAGTCTCAATACAATACGACAGAATATCAGCACAAGATTTTCCAGTATAGTCAGGCAGTGAATGAGCTGTTTGACTACACGACGCCACTTCATCTCTTGCTGAAACGTCGTTGGCCGGGAGCCAGCGTCACCGTCTTTGACACTCATTCGATTTTCAACGACATTCACAACAATCCCGGTCAATATCTTTCATCGCCGCAGAACGTCGTGTCTTCATTCAAGACCTGTGATGCCACTGGCAAATGCGAAAGTTCCACTTGGCCCAAAGCAAGCTTTCTCTGGTATGTTTGGAAGTACTTTGCTGAACTGAGGGCCAGTCAACTCACACTCTTTCCCTCCAATCAGGTACGACATGCTGCATCCATCTGAACGAACCATGGAGATTGTTGCCAAGGAATTTGTGTCAGCAATCAAGGGATCTTCGAAATACGCTACTACCTATATATCGCCGTGATCAGATAGACTGCCGAGTGTACTTGGGTAAAAAGAGTCTCATGGGCTTGATACCAAGATCGGTAACGGAAGCAAACAGAGACCCGAAGATGCGGTGACTTTTTGACCAGTGGGGCAACCACAATTGCACCGGGTCGTCGCTGCGCTCGCCTCATTAGTAATTGGCTAAGAAAGCCTCATATTCACGGTCTCTGATTATTTCAACCTCTTCTAAACAGTCCTCTCAGTGCCTCTCAGGACTGCACTCTTGTCCTTGACGCCGAGGACGATGCCGTTGCCGTTGCCGTTGCCGTTGCCGAGGTCAAGGGTAACTTAAGGGGCACAGGAGCTGAGGAGCCGGCGACAACTGGCGGCGGCAGGCGGCGGTAAAACGCTTCTCCGCGTTCCGGTCCTGCCAACGCCAGTCAGACCTTTGCTCTCTCAACACACCACCACCAGCCGACCATCGATACAAGGGCGGCGGGCGCATTGCCGAGAATAAATCCTGCAGCCATATCCGGACCTCGCAACCTTTTGGACGCCTTCTTTTTATCGTCGATAGCAGTGCGACGATTATTTTCGTAATCCTGCCGACACTGACGCGCGCCCGGCGCAAAACTTCCTTCCCCCCATTTATTCAGTCCTCCGTCCGTCCACCGCGCCGCCTCGACGCTCTCTACCAACAAGACATCTCGCCGCATCCAACTCCAGCCTCGCGGCAAGTCAAGTAGACCATACTTTTGGTCCGAGAAACTCCACCAAAAATCATCGAGTTTGCAGTTTCTACTTTTGACAGTCGGTCAATTGCTCGTCTTGCGCCAATTGCAGCCACGACGCGTCACAGCCTTGGGCAGTGATCGACGTCACCCTCACTCGTTTCTTTTGTCGCGCTCGATAAATACTTTTCGCCCTCTATTCGACGCGAAACTGCAATACAGCGCCAGGATCAACCATGTTCCAAGGACAATTTGGCTATGGCAATGCTGGGCCCCAGTTCAACAACCAGCAGGCAGGGGCCCAGCCTAACCAGCAGCAACAGCAGCAGATGATGTTCAATCCGCAACAATTCGCTGGAATGGCGCCTCAGCCCGGCTTTAATCCCGCTGCGAATCCCCAGATGATGGCAGGTGCCTCGCAAGGCATGATGCAGAACCCTGCCATGCCTAATATGGCTGCCAATGGACAAAGTGAGCTTTCCATCCTGTCTGTGCTGACGCTGCGCATGTGTATTCTAATGTGTCTCTCTTCTGAGTAGTGCCCGGGTTTCAGCAACAATTCGCTCCCCAGTATGGGCAAGTTCCGCAGAATTTCCCGCAACAGCAATACATGATGGCTGGCATGCAGGGCTTCCCCATGAATCAGCAAGGCATGACGCCGCAGCAAGCTCAGCAAATAATGCAGCAACGCCTGCAGCAGCAACAACATCTTCAGCAACAACAAGCACAGCAACAAGCACAGCAGCAGGCGCAGCAGCAGCAAGCGCAGCAGCAGCAAGCGCAGCATCAAGCACAACATCAAGCGCAGCATCAAGCGCAGCATCAAGCACAACATCAGGCGCAGCATCAAGCGCAGCAGCAAGCGCAGCTGCAACAGCAGCCACAACAACACCATCAGCAGCAGCAGCAGCAGCAGCAGCACCAGCAACAAGCTCAGCATCAGCACCCCCAACACCAACAGCTTCAACAACACCAAAACCCCCAGGCGCAGCAGCAGCATGTCCAACACCAGCAGCTCCAGCAGCATCATAATCAGCAAATACAGCCACAACACTCGCAACAGAACAACATGAGCCAGGTCGGAACCCCGCAAAGACCCCCAAGTGCCGTGCAGAATAGCTCTGCTGGACAGATGCCCGGACAGCCTCAATTCTCCCCCCACCAAATGCCTCATGGATCTCCACAGCAAGGTGGCCAAATGCAGCAACATGCTCAACAGCATCAGCAACAAATGCAGCAGCCTGGAGCCATCATTACTCCTCAGACACCGACATTTCCCAGCAATCAGGGGCCCAACGCAGGTGTAGCATCCAACGCTCCTCCTCTAAGCCCAGCCTCGGAATCGCGTGAAAAGGAGCGGTTTGCGCTGCTGCTCGATATCAACCACGAGCTGCTATACGAAGTCATTCTTCTGCAAAACACACAGACGGAGCTCAAGAAGGAAGCAGCGGCTGCAAATGGCAATGCGGGGGAAAGGAAGCAAACTGAGGAGGAGACCTTATTCCAACAAGACTACGTGCAGTAAGTGAAGTCGATTGTGCAAGCAAGGCTAATGACTCGATCAAACTAACCGGTCCCTACTACAGCTGTATGCGCCGCCTACAAGCCAACCTCTCGTACATGGCCGCACAGGCCGATCGCAAAACGGAAACCAAGGGGCCGCCCTATCCCACCTTTATGACTGCGCCGCCACTGAATCTGTCTCTCCGCCCTCGAGCCCAGCCAATGGTTCCCGACGGATCTGATGCCAAAATTGACCCTGCGGCTGATCGAGAAGAAAGAGACAAAGCGATCAAAGACCTGTACCGCCGTTTGCAAGCAGCCTACCCGGGTGTCGACTTTAAGAAAGAGTCCGCGGCTCGCTTACAACACGGTCAGAAACCTGGCAACCCTGCCGCTTTCCAAGGCAGTCCAATCTCGCAAAAGACGCCACAGATACCGAATGCACCGCCGCCACAGGTGAGCCAGCTGGGGTGATGGCGAGAAGTCACAAATATACGGAAACGACAGAGGGCGTGGGGCATTTCTCTCTTCCTTGCGATGAGCAAGAGATGTTGTAAAAAAGGGAAACCCCGTGTATCAGATAGCTCTGTATGGGTTAGCATGCGGTGTTTTTTGGCCTTGTTTCTTGGATTCAAAACGGCGTCAAGGCGGGTTAGGGAGCTTCATGAATTGGAATGGGTATCGGGCCTGAAATTATTCAGTGAAAAAGGGAGGGAGAGGGGTTGAGACTTGGGAGGGGCATGCGGGGAGGAGATGTTGCAAATATCAGCGTTCCTGTACACAAATCAATATTTACTGTGTTGTTCAGCTTGCCAGTCAACTCTCTCTGCGTGGCATAGAGCAACTCTTCATCCTGTAAAAAATTCTATTAAACTCGATAAATACAAGAATGCAGGCTCCTGATGATTTCCTGGGGCATGGCGTGATGTTGGTCCTTTCTCCGTGTGGAAGCAACTATTTGGGCTCACTCGACCCACCTTGACGAGAAGTGGTCATGTCATGCATCGCGGGGCGGCAAGGTGATTATCTCTTTTCACAGCCAAGTATCCGACTTGCCGTAGAACTTGAATCGGGATATAAATTTCCATGTCCATCATCACACAGATATATAGATAGACGGTGAAACCCTGCGATCACAGGATCAGCCCGCGTCTACATATATGCTCCGATCGTTTACGCGCGCCTTTTCCATCTCTACCAGAATGGCGCTTCACCCCCCGCAAGGTGACAAGCTCATCTGTATGTCCCTCTCTACATTTCCCTCCCCTCTCTGCCACCATGACGCTGACATTAGGACAAAGTCGCCCCCGGAGACTCCGGCACGCAAGGCACGCAAGCCGCGCAATTCACCCTCGGCACGCTCTCACGCCGCGACCTCGACAGCACCTCCTCCCCAATCCCGCAGTTCCACAAGTGGTTCTCCGAGGCGCAGGACGCGATCCGCGGCGCCCAGGGTGCGGCGACGGCGGAAACCTGCACGCTGTCTACGGCGGAGCTGCCGTCGGGCCGCGTGTCGTCGCGGCTAGTGTACCTCAAGGAGCTCGACGCGCGCGGGGGCTTCGTCATTTACTCCAACTTTGGCACGTCGCGCAAGGCGGCCGACCTCGCGACCAATCCGCACGCGGCGCTGTGCTTTTACTGGTCGCCGCTGCAGCGGCAGGTGCGTGTCGAGGGCGTGGCGGCGCGGCTGTCGGCCGAGGAGAGCCAGGTGTACTTTGACACGCGCGCGCGGGGCAGCCGCATCGGCGCGTGGTCGAGCCGGCAGAGCGCCGTGCTGGAGCCGACGACGACGGCGGCGGCGCAGGATGGTGATGGTGATGACGACGGGCGCGCTCAGCTGGAGGGCTGGGTGGCGGAGACGGAGAAGCGGTTCGAGGGGCAAGACAAGATTCCGGTGCCGCCTTTCTGGGGCGGACTGCGAATCGTGCCGAGCAGGGTTGAGTTTTGGCAAGGTCGTGACAGCAGACTACATGATCGCTTCGTGTATGAGCGAGAGAATGAAAATGCAGAGTGGGTGTTGAGTAGGCTGAGCCCTTAGATTTGGCGCAATAAAGCTTTAATAGCAAGAGAGAAAAAATCCCCGTCAAAGTAAATCATTTTGAGAGATGCGATAATGGGATACGTTTCATGTGCTAAAGCCAGTAATGAGATTATATTTCCCCCGCCAAGTAACCAGTTCGAATCTTGGCACCGGGATTAAGCTACCTCACAGATTCAAAATACACATCGCAACATTTGCAAACCAAAAACTCTTATCGTGCCGAGAGAGAGAGAGAGAGGACAAAGACTCATCGGCGGGTATTATCTAGCAGGTATAAAACAAGTCCAACAACCTGCAACATTATAACTCAAAAACGCCATGCAAAAAAGAAAAAGAAAAAAACAAGGCCAAAACGGAAAACAGTGCGGTGAGTTGTTGTCGCCTCACATATTATCAAGAACATCAAAGAGCTGTAGCCCAGCTGGCATCTAGGCCGACAGATGCACTTCTCATGCCACTAGCGGGCAGCAGCATCGTCTTTGAGCGAGAGTGTCCCGCGACAAAGTTGCTCGTGTCGTGGCCATTGTCCAAGTCGTCGTCGTCGTCGTCGTCGTCACCAGCAGCGAATAACAACATGTCACCGCCGCCGTCGCTGTGTGGTGGAGATGGCTCGGCCGCGTCCCAATCGCAGTAGTCCTGGCCGGCGAGCTGCATATCGACCATGGCGTCTGCCAGACAGTCGACATCGCAGAGGGGCATGATGCGGTAGTTGAGGGTCTCCATGATGGAGCGCTCCGTAGCATTCAGCTGCTCCGAGGACCACAAGCCGCGACCCCACGCGTTGCAGTACGTCTGGGCCGTCTGCTCCGAATCCTCGGTGAACTTGTGTGCAATGACGAGTGCGGCGAGGATGATGATTTCGGGCTGTACAGAGTCGATATGGAGCTGCTGCTGCTGCGGCGGGGAGGACTGCCGATTCGGCTGCGGCGTGACGACGGGCATGCTGTGTCGCTTGGCGTGCGTCTTGTTCGTTGCGGGTGCGTGCTGCAACGCTGGCTCGATGATGCTAGCAGGACGTAGAGGGCATGTAAGTCGCCATTTGCGACCGAATTTCGAGTCGAGACGGTCAAGCACGCAGACTGCTAGTGCAATCGTTTCGAGGGGCAGAGAAGCTCGGCCCAGTATAGACTGGACTAGATGGACTGATGTCGAAGCGAGGGATGCGGATGAAGGAATCAGGTTGACGAGGTGGATTGCCGGCCCTGTAAGACACATTATCGCATTAGTATGAATCATTATAGCCGCATGGCTAGGTAGGCGCTTGGAGAACGAAATGGGGTTTGGCCTTACCTCGATAGATAGCTGGCAACACCTCGCCATCGTCATTAGGATAGCTCGCCGTGGCGCTGCGAGGCTGCTGCCTCGCCGTTGGAGGCGGTGTGGGAAGATGTGATAGCGGCCGATAGGTAAAGTAGCTGTTGGCGCTGTCCTCGACTGCGACGCCGCCGCCCTTGGACTTGCGCATAGTGGCCGGGGATGGATATCGGGGGAGGAGAAGGGGGGTTTTCGACTTTTATTCGACAATCGCAACAGCTCCTCTTCCAATCTGATACTGCGAAACCGCGAAGCCTGCGCTCATTTTTTTTGCTCTTGTGCAGCGTTTGAAGCTGGACACACAAACGTGCAGCGGGGAGGGGAGGAGAAAGGGTAGGTGAGCACGCGATGCCCAGCTACCAAAGTCGGGCGAGTTTGTTTGTCGAGGACGAGCGGAAAGCGGCCGATTTAACAAAGTTTAAATCTGTCAAAGGAGCAAGATGAAGAAGAGAAGATGAATACGGCGGCGGAAGAAAGATGCATGTATGTATATGTATGTATGTATGTATGTATGTATGTAGTACGCTCGGGACAGGGGACCAAGAAGGGACATGTATCTATCCAACTACAAGTCTCCAGGCGGTGGACAAGCGGCGGGCTCGGACCCTGGGCCATCAGCGGAGGGGCCAAGATGAATGCCCAAATAAATAATGGGTTGTACAAAGTACGCGGCAGTGCTGTGTATCCCGTATTCTATTCACGGCTGGAGTCGTATTCGAGGCAAACCTGCCTGATTGGTATTCTTCAAGGGCAAAAGAAGGGGGACAATAAAAATGAACTATAATAATGAGAGCGACTGGGCAGCGGCCAGTGGATCGGCAAGGGGGGGGCCCCCGGCGGAAGAAATCTGGTTGGCGGAGTCTTTGGGCCCATGTTGACCAAAAAAAAGTCAGGGGCTTCTTTTCCTTTTCTGCTATTTTCAGGTCGTGGAGGCTTCTTATCTATTCTTGGTGATGATTTCCCCCCGAGGCTCGCAACAATGACGTACAGCCTTTCACAGCCAGGTCCAGCCCTGTGCATGAAACTTTAATCTGTGAGAGTAGCCGCGTGCCAAGCTTGGGGCTAGGGTTCGTATTAATTGCAGGTACTACCTAGGTAGGTACGTAGTGCCGTCTACGGCCTGGCTTATCCTAAGATTTCCAGGGGTTGTGAAAGTTGGACGAGCAATACAAAGTACCAACTAACGATATTGATAGAGCAAAGCCATACGTTCTTTAATCAATACCCCCAGCTGCCGTCTTATTATTCTTGCACAAACTACATACTTATCCTTGCTCCTTTTGGGGGTACCCAGATCCGTTATTCAGGCCATGTCTTGAAAATGAGCCAAGCAGTGGGGTTTAGCGGCCTGTCAAGTCTCTCAAACAAGTGGGCGCCAAGATGTGAGCTCTCACATGTTCATTTATTCATATCCCAGCTGTGTGTTGATCTCGGCTTTGAGAATATACTGATGAGCCTTTCTCAATCACAACGGGTCCGTACTATTTAGACCTAGGTGTGTGAGGCTACTTACAAAGTACAATACATTTACAATGCTATCACTGCACAATACTAATCTCCGAGATTGGCTTTTCCATGCATGCAGTATATTGCATGAAAATGAGATGGCAATGATGAATGCGATATAATTAGTTAATAAGGCGATGATGAATGCGATATAATTAGTTAATAACATTCTCAATATAGTCATCGACCCGCTGCGGTACGGAGACCCTACGTCCATGTACCAAGGAAAGGGATCGAGTCAGCAGGAATCAATCTCCAGCACATGTAGCATGCAAATCCACATGTTCCCGTTCGCCGTACCAATAAATTTATATACATTCTTAGCAGCCCCCTTTCGGGTGGCAAAGCAAAGTCAACGCACAAAGAAAAAGGAATCGTTGAGAGCACTGAAGGAATCGGAAAGTACTCTCCTGCGTATTGAGTATAATTCTGTTTGTGCATGGACAAACGGCATCTCTGATTTGGCGCTCAAGGTCAAGCAACGTCCGTCGTTCAAAGGGCATAATTCAAGACAATAAGCCCACATCACCTCGCAAGCGAAAAAAAAAAACGTTTTGGAAAATCCAGATTTTCATTAAAGAGCTAAACAGAATAAATTAAGAGCGAACATGACTAGAACCCAAATGCCCGCCGTGGTACGCGGCTCACCACCGAAACAGTGATCCCCTCATCCTGGTAGCAGCCATTACGGAAACTGATTAACCAATAAGGGGAGTGGAAACTAATTTCATAGTCAGCCTTGAAAAATATCTCATCACAAAAAAAATAGTGATTCACGTACCCTTCTTAGCAATGGACTCAATCTCGGGGATCGACGATGAGCTGACGAATTGGCGCAGATCAACACCGCTAATGCCGTTGACAAGGCCGAAGTTGAGACCGCCAAGGGCCAGGCTTCCAAGGTCAAAGCCATTGAGAGCACCGGTTCCAGCAATGGCCAGCAGAGTCTGCAGCTGCTGGAACTGGAGCAGAGAGTTGAGGTCGAAGCTGTTGACGTTGAAGACATCCTGGAAGAGCAGCAGGTTGAGGTTGTTGTTGAGGCCCAGCTGCTGGAAGAGCTGCAGGTCGAGCGAGTTGATGTTGAGGAGGTAGTTGAAGTCGTTTTGCTTGAAGACGAGGTTGTTGAGCTGGCCAAAGTCGAACGAGCTGCGCGCCTCGAGGGCGGCAGTCTCGGCGGCAGGGGCAGGAGCCGCGGTGGCGACGGCGCCGAGGGCAGCAGCAATGAGAGTGGAGAACTTCATCTTGGTAGATTGGGAAAAAAGAAGGTTGTTTGGTTATAAAAGGATGGGAAAGTTTTGTAAAGAGTGTAGGAGAAAGTAATGGAGCACAGCCCGCAAGTTCAAGAGTATTAAAAAGAAGGAATGTAATAGACTTTGAGCACAGCTAAAAGAGTATCAAAGTCAGTATGAATCCTATATTCTACCGGGATATCCTTGTGTTCTTACCTCGAAGAGAATGAAAGAATGCAAAGATGATAGTTGTTGATCTGCTTGTGAGGATGATAGGCTCTCTCATGGCAAGATGACGGAATTCATTCATCTTTATAGGTAATCACAAGTATGTTTGCCAAGAACAAAGCATCTACTCTCGCAGGCGAAAAGTGCTCGGGTTCGGGGGGCTCACTGCGTTCGACGTTGCAATGCCATTTCACGGTAAAGCCTTCATCCGATGGCAGCTCTCTCCGCCCATTATCAACTACAAAGACCACATGCAGCCTATCGGATATGTATCAGGAGAGTTTCTACCCCGGAAATCTTAATTCGGATAGGTGTGTACCGATATGAAGGCTCACCTTGCCTTGGAAGCCAAAATCGCCCCCCCCAATTATTGGCACCGCGCACAACCAACTGCACTTGCCTAAAAAATGCCAAGGCTTGCTTAAAAGGGCGTCACCTGTACCGAGGAGCAGATTTTGCTGATGATAGGACGAAAAGGTGTGTCTTGCATGATGCCCCCCGACTTACACTGTGTCTGATCCACGCTTTAACACGCACTGCCTAACAACCCAACACCACAAGTGTGTATGGCGTCTTGTTACACTTTGACAAATTCATACTGCAGAAAGAGAGATGACTTGAAATTGAGAAGAATTTGTTGAATAAATTATTGTTTCAAAAATTCAATCAATTTGCCCAAGGCAAAAAAAAAAAAAAAAAAACGGTCGTCGGAACGGCAGTCTAGCACAGCAAGAATGGATGACATGACTGCTGGCTGCCGACTGCCGCCAAACAAGACCAACATCGGATTCTCATCCCAAGTGGCGTAATAAATTACTAAAAAAAAGTACGTCATCGGAAAAGATGCATACAGGTATTGGATAGTGGTGACCGAAGGGGTTAGTCGGGATGCTACTGCGACACGGGTGTCCAGGTTCGCGTTTCGCATTTCGAGTGTGTCTCAAGAGGAAGCCAAGGAAAGTTCCGATGGCAAATGTTTGTTGTTCGTCTCAGATATCTTTTGCCAAGTGAAAAAAAAAGTTCCGACTAAAGTCGATATTTGAGTTTCGATCCCTGCATCTCATGTGATTTCGCCGTGGCAAGGCCAAGCTGACCTGGGGCTGGGCAGGTACTACGCCGATGCGTCAAGTTGCGGCAAAATAAGCATGTGCTTTGATTAAGCATACTAGCTAAGAGACGGAAATCATTGCTTTGAAGTTGAATCCAAGTGTACTCTAGGACCTTGTAAAGCAGATTTTTGAATCACAGAAAAGAGAAGAACAGCTTGTCCAAGGGTCGATGCTTCTACCTCCCAAGCCAACTACTAGCCATGAGAGGTCGAGCACCATCTGGCAGCAATAACTAATGATGATAGAGACTCAAAGGAAATCTGCCACACTGTGTTGCACTCGATTCAAATTTTATTCATTGTGAGATGGCTCATGACAGATTTTGGTGACAAGGATTATTTATTCGCAAATTGCAACTCGAGAATATAGAGTTGTCCACTGGAGAACACTATAGAGTAGAAACGCTGAAAACCGTTCATTATCATACAACTCATCGTAACTCCTAACTAGCCAATAAAAATAATTCTCGTCACAATTTGATCCCTACGTTGTGCCCCGGGACAAACCACAGGACTGACTAATGGGAAACTTCATCATTTCCCACATACGCGATGCTTTCAGCTTAAGCGACAATAGCTAGTCGATGTTAGTACGTGCGAATGACTTGATGGCTTGGAAAGTCTTCTTACCAATGGTGGCGCCTTGCTGGACAAAGCCCTGGTTCAGAACAGTGATGATCTGGGGCTGGTTGATGAGCTGAAGCTGCTGCAGAATCTGGAGCTGCTCGACCTGAGAGACAAGAGCGAGCTGCTGGGCGAGGGAGATGCTGTTGAGGTTGCCAATGTTGATATTCTGACCGACACCAAGCTGACCAATGTTGCTGATGAGCCAGGGGTTGAGGACACCCTGGTTCAGGTTACCGTTCTGCAGCAGCTGGTTGATAAGATCCTGGTTGTTCTGGTTCTGGTTCTGGTTTTGGTTTTGGTTTTGGTTCTGGTTCTGGTTCTGGTTGCGATCGTTGTTGTTCTTGTCTTGGTTGTTGTTGTTGTTATTGTTGTTGTTGTTCTGGCCATTGTTCTGCTCACGGCCCTTTCCATCCTTGCCTTGGTTCTGGTTGCGGTCCTCGCCCTGGTCCTTGTTCTGGTCCTTGTTCTGGTTCTCGTTCTTGCCGTCCTTGCCCTCATTCTGCTTGCCGTCCTCAGGAGCAGTACCGTTCTGGGCCGGCTGAGCCTCGTCAGCGCGAGCAGTGATGGAAGCAAGAGGGAAGCCTTCCTCATCTTCCTTATCATCCTCTGCGTCGTCAACGAAGAGGTTGGAGGCGGCAACAGTGGCGTCGCGGACCTCGACAGCAGTAGAAACATGGCCGACCTCAGTAGAGCGGTCGACGACGGCGCCAGGAACGGCAGCGGCCGAGACCAGGCTGGCCGTGAAAAGGAGAACGGAGAATGACTTCATTGTGGTAGGTTTGTGATGAATATCAGTGCTGCTGTGGTATCAAGGGAATGTTGTAGGCAAGGGGTCCTTTAATGAAAGTACTAGTTGCCGGGATAATGTAAACAGAGCACAGCTCTTGTTTTAAAAGAAAGAATAGGAATTGGTAGAGAATGATATTGCAGCGTGTTGGATGAGAATATCTTTCAGTTTTGGCTCGGGGAATCTGGAGATCATATACTCGCGCTGTGATCCTCATTAGGCGGTTGAGGCAACCCTTGGACCCGTACACCAACGACAAACCGGGGAAGCTCTGATGCCTGACGTATTGCACAATAAGCTCTTGATGAGGCGCAAGTGAGCTGCCATATTCAAATCATAGAACGAATCCACCTCTTTGAGACCGGATCTATCGAATTCCATAACTAGCATACAAACCCACCCATCGCTTGGCCAGCTGCCACAAAGGCGGGCAGGCAGTGTCACTGGGATCATTCATATTGACAACGCTGACCCATTCTTACCCTACTCCAACGGCAAGATCTGGCAGGTGGTATTGCCGGGGTTTCAGTCATCTTGGCGTAAGGAGGCTTTGATACTGTCAAATTCAAGGCGGGGAGCCAAGAGTGGCGCGGCAACACCCCGTAGCGAGCAAGTTTGGCCTTGGCATTGGACGCTGAAGCGTTACATTTGGCGGCGAACGAATCCAAGAGCGAGATTTGCGTCTCGTCAATCTTGGGTTGATGTTGTTGAGGGCTCTGTGGTTTCAGAATCGTCCCCCCACGTTTCATCTCAGCAGTCAACTCGTCCGGTATACATCTGAGCCGTCCGCTCTGAAATCTGGTTGGCCAAGGAGAATTTATGCTATGAAAAGGTCGCATGTATTTGCTCGAATGTGGCACCGCTTTTTAAAGTTGTAATTAATCTGTGCAGCAATTTGAGAGGCCGCGCCCACCTTCATCGGACTAGATTGGGTCATCGGATAATAGGCTCGATATATCGTGTCAAAGTAGAGATTAAAAAAAAATTGGGGAAACTCCGTGTATTCGATCTTTAACATGACTCTGAAAAGCTCCGTAGTTCAACATAGTGCTCCGTATTGAGTGCATATTTCAACACAAGAGGCGAGAGGTAACTTTTCTGTCCTCTGAATTTGATGTAAGAAGTAGAGCTTTCCAGACTTCATTTTAACGCACATGAAGCTGCCGAGAATGCGCTAGTGGTTGAGTGCAGCCAGCGTTAGATAGCTGTTTCGCAAGACTTTGTAGTGTGCTGAGACGGCAACCCCTAGTTGTCTGTCTTGACGGCATTCGACACGGGTGATCTCAATATTGCGCTGCCGCATTGCATGAGTTGATCCGTTCATTTCCCAACCTCCCGGCGGCGTTCGAGATTTCTTCATGTCGTGTTCGGATGTTCAATATGCAAACTTCAGTCCCGTGAGGATCAGACGTGGTTGCTCACTGTTTGTAAATGTTATTTGTCGCGCATCATCAGTTCCAGGTTGCGCTTCAAACGCAGGCGAGTGTTATTTTGGAAAGCTTTGCAAGCATCATGTGTATTCATTCGTATATGTTTTGGTCCTGATTCGCTCTCTCCTCGCGAAGAATCCGAAAGGCGCTAATGCCAAGGTATATTGTACAGGTAATCTATTATTTCTTCGGTCTTGTCGAATCTTTTTGTGTCGACAGTCATCGTTCTGTCTTTCGCGATACCTCGTTGGTATTGTGGAAGCCGAGCCATTCCCCCAGCATTCCACCGGGTTTGGGAACTGGACATTCTCTTCGCGATGAACTCGATCGGGGTACCACGTTCTCTGTTGAATTTTGATTGAAATCGGCGAGTCCATCTGTGATTTGCGGCGCGTCTTTACGTCTCCATATTCTTCTGCGACCGTTCTCGTCCACCACGACTTCGCCATCGGCGTATCGTGCCCGAGGCACAGGACAGGGGAGTAGATGCGGCAGTCCAACAACAAAGAAACTAGCGACCAAGGTCGTAGCAAAGAGTGACGAGGTCATTCGAGACCTAGGGTGGAGATGTGGTGGCATCGTGGTATTGTGAATTGTCGCAGACGCTCTGATCAAGGGAAGACTAGGAGGCTGTCACAGGCGGGTCAGCAATGCAGGCAGAGTAAGTGCAATGCTATCCATTGAGCGTACTAGATCATAAGACCATCATCTCGAGCTTTGTCTCAACGCCGGAGAATCAATTGCGATAGTAATGGGCGGCTGGCTGGCTATAGTAGACGGATATCGCGCGTCGGTGCTGTCGGCTCTGACTAGAAAAAGCGCTCCTTGAAGCAATTCTGACCAACCCCGGATTCCCAAGCTGCTGATTGGCTGTAGAAGCTGCCGGAGCGGAGCATCTTGCTTCCGGAGCCGGCTCAGAAGTCTCAACTACCTTTTATCGAATTTGGTGGGGCGATGGAGAACCGTGGGTGCGAGATGGACTTGTGGTTTGCGCGCCGAACAAGGGAAGTCCATCTATTACCTTCTTCTTGGAAACACGACCGCAGCACGTGCTACTATTGACACCTATATATTCTACCAGGGTTACCAACATAACCAATATTATTCCTTCTACCTCGAGATATGCTGTAAGGTCACCTGCAATTCTCCATCGCACTTGAAAAGCGGCCGGCGCGTTACCCATGCGACCGTGGCTTAGCCAGCCTTCATAATGAGTGATCTCGACAAGTAAGTTACTTTACCATGGATGGACGGCTGAGTTTCTGGTGGCCGGCTAATCCGAAACTCTCGCAGAGCTATTGCGCAGCTGCGCGCCTGTCGTCCGATACCCGAAACCCAAGTCCGAGAGCTTTGCCATCGTGCCCGAGAGCTGTTGATCGAGGAAGGAAACGTGGTCACCGTGTCTGCGCCAGTAACGGTGCGCAAGCTCTTCAGTCAGCCGCTTGAGAAGAACTTGTAGAGTACTGATTTGTCATTTCCATAGATATGTGGCGATATTCACGGTCAGTTTCATGACCTGATGGAGCTCTTTCGGGTCGGAGGAGACGTGCCCGACACCAACTACCTCTTCATGGGCGACTTTGTCGACCGTGGGTTTTATTCTCTTGAATCATTTCTTCTTTTGCTCTGCCTTAAAGTTCGATACCCCGACCGCATGACGCTCATTCGCGGAAATCACGAATCGCGACAGATCACAACCGTCTACGGCTTCTACGATGAATGCCTGCGAAAGTATGGCAGCGCCAACGTTTGGCGATACTGCTGCGATGTGTTTGACTACCTTGCTCTAGGCGCCATTGTTCTTGGGGCGTCCAATACCCTCTCTGATCAAGCCGAGCCAGTCGACGATGAAACTGAGATTGAGGTTTGCGATCAAAACGGAAGCATCATTAGCCGCTTCTCACGCCAACGTGGCCAGGCAGATAGCCAACAGCAAAAAGGCCGGAGTCCGGGTGGTGGTGGTGGAAGCGGCAGCACAGGAGACAAGACTGGGCCGCCAGGCTCCGGTGCCTCTGGATCCAGTAACGGAAGTATTGGCAACCTAGCAGGTGCGGTATTCTGCGTGCATGGCGGTTTGAGTCCGCTCATTGATTCGGTGGACAAGATCCGCCTCATAGACCGCAAGCAAGAGGTACCCCACGAGGGAGCCATGTGCGACTTGCTGTGGTCTGATCCAGACGACATTGACGGTTGGGGCTTGTCGCCGCGTGGCGCGGGGTTTCTGTTTGGCGCGGATATTGTTAAAGTCTTTAATCATCGAAACGACCTGAGCCTCATTGCGCGAGCCCATCAGCTTGTCATGGAAGGCTTCAAGGAAATGTTTGACTCATCTATTGTCACGGTCTGGTCGGCGCCTAACTACTGTTACCGCTGTGGCAACGTGGCCGCCGTGCTTGAGCTCTGCGAAGACGAGTCCGGCACAGGCCTCTTTGCGCGGAGCAACGGAGACGTTGGCCGCAGTGATGGCGGCGCTGGCGTAAACGGGCGTGGTCTGATGATGGAGTCGGACACGACCAATGTGCCCAACAATGGACCTGCGAGGCGCTACCGTGTATTTCAGGCCGCGCCACAGGATTCGCGCGGTATGCCTGCGAAGAAACCCGTGGCAGACTACTTTCTCTAGGCAGGACCTGCAACCATATAAGATTTTTGTTTCCTGCTGCATTTTTGTCGGGATCGGGACAGTTTCTTTGGGGATCAATGGCGGCGTTTGGCGGTTATAATCATGATTTATGCTTTTTTAGAGCAGCGCATTACAGGAAGCCAAAGGTTTGGGACTAGTGCGGGATTGTGCCATTCAAGACGAGTTGTATTATTTTTCTGAGATTCTATGACTTTTGATAAGTTTATATATATACATGTATGCCTTTTTGATACACTAGACACAAAGAAGGCCGTACTGGACTCGCGAATATGCTGGTACTATGGGGTTGAGCTAATACCTCACACCGTGGCGCGGCTCTCCGACACTATTCCGGTCTCGAGGCCGCTGCGAGGTGGTAACCAAGTTCTGTGATCCTGAGGAAATGTACCAAGCTTTCTTGGAATTCTGTCGTCTCTGGCAATGGATGGTTGCTACCCTGGCCAACCGCCAGTAGATCCATCACCGTAACTACTATCATCCTCTGTGTGATAGTTGTTCATTGAGCCATCGTAATGCATATGTCCTCTGCCATGCTGATGATGCTGCTGCTGCTGTTGCTGTTGCTGCTGCAGCATAGATTGGGTGATGCCTGATGTCGATGCAAGAGAGCCTAAATGTGCGGATTGGTTCAGATACGCCTCTGGTCCCCTGTTTTGATTTGTCATGAACATGGCCGCAGGGTACTGCTGCTGCTGTTGTTGTTGTTGCGAAGATTGGCTTGCCAGAGCAGTCGTTTGGAGGTGCATGCCTGGATTGTGGCTATATGAAGATTCGGCGGGCATCGCGTCCCACGGCGTGGAAGTCGAAACCGAAGGAGTGCTCGAGATGGAGGAGTCGGACATGACTTGACTCGTGACCGAGGTAAACGGAACGTTGGGCTCGAGGCTCGCTGGCCGCCGCGGCACCAATGCTTGCTGGAGCGCATGCGAAGCCATGCTAGGCTCTCCGGTGGCGGCGGCGGCGGCGGCAAAGGCCTGTCTGTGGTTCATGCCGGGACCCCCCGCGGCCACGACGTTTCCAGCCTGCAAGAAGCGATTAATGTATTCTTGGCTGAAGCCATGTTCGTTGAGGAGCTGCCGCAGCTGTCGGTTCTCGTCGGCAACGCGCCGCGCCGCAATCTGAACCTCTGCTGTGGCCTCGATGCCTTGCAACTCGCAGAGTCGGAGGCGTTGTTCTAGCTCTTGCAGATATTCTCGCCTTCGTGCTCTAGAGCGCCGTTGGTTGTCTCGTATGCGAGCTAAATTGGCTTTTTGCTGTGAGACGAGAAGGTCAGTTGGATTAAGCTTTCATCTTCCATGGGAGAAAGAGGGAATGTTGCAAGTAGGCGAGAAGAAGAGAGCGGGCTGGCTTACTGCTGGAGTTGACATTTAGTCTGCGCTCTGTTTGTGTCGGGGGCCGCTCTTGGGTCGTTGGTTTGAACATCCAGAACACGGCTGTTGTCTGTCGCCCTCTTGAGGTGTTGAGCTGCCCGAAGCGACGAACAATGGGTGCCAATAGCAGGACTGATAGTTCCAAAACCAGTAATTGGTAGTACCAAGCGAATAACCGTCTTGTTTTGCTTTTTTTTTTCTCGATGTGATATCACGCCATTGAGGAATCCGAAAGGTTGCCACTATATTCGCACCCGCGCAAGACCGAAACAAAAGGAAGAAACGGCTGATGACTGCAGTAGAATCATGTGTACGATCTCTTTCTATATATTGTTGGTAGATTCGCAATCGCTGGGGAAAAAGAGAGTTGTCCAAGGTAAGCACCCGAGTCAAGGTTGGTAGTTGGTAGTCAGAGGACGCGCATGAGAACAATCATCCAGATTTGCGACGGATAGTTATAAGGCTGAACGAAGGGGACAGCAAGAATGAATGAATGAATGAGTGAATGAATGGAACTCAAGGCCACAGCGTCTTGGAAATTCGTGACAAGTCGTGTACCAATAAGCGGGGAGGCCTGGAGCTTTGTGTTGCAGTTGGCTTCTCTGGGCTCGGCGACGGCGCTAACGAGAATGGAGAGTGGAAGAGAAGAGAGTATGGCATCCTTTTTGACAAGAAGCGAAAGGCCCCCCTATACATATGAACTATACGCCGAGACGCAATACTGGGGCAGAAGCGCCACACCACGGGCTATCATTGCCGCACATAACGGTTACATTCCCAGACCGTCGGGTTCAAGTCGTTACTTTGATAGGATAGGATAGCATAGCATATAGCCAGCTAGTTGTATCGGTAGCAAGAGAACATGGCATTTCAGCTAGCCAGGAACGTGTCTTGGGCAAAGAAACCCAGATTTTTACTAAATATAAACTGGTCCTGAATCATAAAGTAGGCCGGTGGCGAGTAAGGAAGAGAGATTTAGGATAAATGTCCGTGTGGATAACGGACGAGCGGGTTGAAGGCAACAACGCTCGGTAGCAACGTGGTGCTGGAAGGGGAAAAAAAGAGAAAAAAAAAGGAAAAGGAAAAGCGGACTAGGACCGTGGGAGGGGGGCCTATAACATGGAAAACCATCTACTGTTTTATAATCATCTGCTCGTGTCATGGTCAACATCGTAACATTCGCTTCGATCTAGGTAGGAAGCTCGGTGAGGCGGCATGGCTGGGTGGGACACACCAAGCGGCAAATTGACTCCATGGTGGTATGAAACCGCGAGCCAGCAAAGAAAGAGAAGCGGAGAGAGGGAGGGGGGGGTGAAAAATTAAACGGGAGAAGAAAGGGGCCCTTGTAACCAAGCCATGCAGCCTTGGAGACAGGTCAGGCTTCTCACGGGGCGGGAGTGACATGCACGGAGCCAGGTTCTTCTTGTCCTTGTGGATGCGGGTTTGGTGGGTGTAAGTCGGAACAGTGTCGGCTGAACCTGCCAACGGCGGTGGGGGGAAGGGGAGGGGGGTCTGTAAGAGATGCAGACGCACATATTGTTTGCATACATATATCGGGAATGAAAAGGGCGGACAAATAGGAGAAAAGAACGAGCGTCTTTTTTTTTGGTCTTTTTTAATATTTCGAGTTTGTTGGTCAATGACTTAAGATAGCCTACGGGTTTACCTTACCGAACGGCGGACCGGTGGGCAGTGGTGGACCACGCTACCGAGGCGACCTTTTCATTCCGGACCTGGCAACTTGCACTAACTAGTTCCCGAGGGACGAAAGGAAAAAAAACTTCTTCTTCTCTCCTTCTTTTGGCCACAAAAAGTAATAGTTCATAGCCGGAGGGGCAATATAGTGAAACGGCTTCGGCAGCCGAGTTAGGGTCGTTGATGTGCAAGTTTGCCGATCGGGCGCAGTTTACACACTCACATGCTTCCAAAAGGTGCTGTAAATTCTTGTCCTTCTTTTTCTTCTTCTTTTTTTTTTTTTTTTTTTTCTTTTTCTCGCCCCTATCATCCGAGGGCACGACTCAGAAAAGGGACGGCGCCTGCCCCAAACTTTTAGCGTGCGGGAAAAGCAACAACGGGCGGCCCGCTGGGCTCAACGCCAAAGAGAAAAAAAAAAAAAAAAAAAAACCTAAAACGCAAAAAA